AAAACGACAGCAACTTGTCTGTTCCCCTTCCCCCAATTCCCCAGCACTGTTCCCATCCCCCCAATTCCCCAATAAAAATCTTAAAAAAATAAATAAATAAGTGAATGGGACTATATCAAACTAAAAAGCGTCTGCACAGTAAAAGAAATCATCAACAAAATAAAAGAGGCAACCAACCGAATGGGGGAAGATATTTGCAAACAACACCTCCAATAAGGGGCTAATATCCAAAATATATAAAGAACTCATACAACTCAACAACAAAAAATCCAATTAAAAAGTGAACAGAGGACCTAAATAGACACTTCTTCCAAGACATACAAACGGCCAACAGATATATGAACAGATGTTCAACTTCACTAGCTATTAGAGAAATGCAAATCAAAACTACAATGAGATACCACCTCACACCTGTTAGAAGGGCTATTATCAACAAGACAAGTAATAACAAGTGTTGGAGAGTTTGGGGACGGAAAGGAACCCTCATACACTGCTGGTAGGAATGTAAATTGGTGCAGCCACTATGGAAAACAGTATGGAGGTTCCTCAAAAAATTAAGAATAGAATTATCACATGACCCAGCAATCCCTCTTTTGGGTATCTACCCCAAAAGTGGAAAACATTTATCTATAAAGATAATATGTACCCCTATGTTCATTGCAGTATTATTCATGGTGGCCAAGACATGGAAACAACTGAAGTGTCCTTCGATAGATGATTGGATAAAGATGGGGTACATATATACACAATGGAGTATTACTCAGCCATAAGAAAAGATGAAATACTGCGATTAGCAACAAAATGGATGGATCTTGAGATTATCAGGCTAAGCGAAATAAGTCAGACAGAAAAAGCTGAGAACCATATGATTTCACTCACATGTGGGATATAAAACTTAAAGCAACAAACAAACAAGATAAACATAAACTCATAGACGCAGACAATATGGTGGTTACCGGAAGGTAAGCGGGGAGAGGGGACGGTAGAAGAGGATAAAGGGGTCAAATATATGGTGACAAAAGGAGATCTGACTCTGGATGGTGAACACATTGCAATATACAGATGATGTATTATAGAATTGTACATTTGAAACCTATATAATTTTATTAACCATTGTAACCCCAATACATTTAATAACAAAGATAGGGGCCCTTTTTAATGGTGTAAGACAGCTGAGTTTCATGGGATGCCTCAATTCTCCCAAAGAGAATTCATACCAGGGACTGATTCACCTAATGTTGGGCTCTCACACGGGTGATAATCTGCGCTGGTTTTCCTCACCTGGTTCGCAAAATAAATCTTCTGTTTGCCGTACATCTTCTCTTTGATCTTGCCTTGTTGGGCCAGTTGCTCCAGCGCCTTCACCACCGCCTGGCAGAGGGGAAGGGGCGTAGCAATCGGAAGAGTGATTTCGGGCTGGACAGCCAGTGATGCCAGGGGTGCGGGAGCGGGAGGGGCAACGCGCTACAAGCCTTAGGAAGCCCAAGGCTAGAATGGAAGCCTCGAGAGGGCAGGACCCCAGGCCGATTCGAGGGGTCCCAAGGAGAGGAATCCTGGGGAGAGGGTCCTCACCGCCTTGCCCAGTCCGTGTTCCCGCTGCAGGTTCCCGAACACATCCTGGGCGCTGTAAGGCCGGTTCTGCTCTTGCAGGTACCTCAGGAGGACCCCGGGGGCTACCGGGAGAGACGAAGCAGGGTCACTCAGCCGACCCCCCTCACCCGCTCCCCTCTTGGTCTCCCCACGGTCCACGGCCCGATTACCTCCGGCCGCAGCTTCGGCCCGGCTTTTACTCATGACTTTTCCCGCCGCCAAACTCGAAAAGCCGGACGTTAGAGTTGCTCGGGGCAACGGCCCCTTCCGGTGACAGGAGGGGCGGGCCTCACCGGTGACTGGCGGAAAAGGAAATCTTCGCGAGGAATGAAGAGACCCTCCCCGGGCACCGTAGTTGGTTTCAGCCGGGAAATTGGGCGCCGGGCCTGACTGCCGGGTTTCTGTGGAGGAGGTGGGGCGCGCGCTTCCAACCTCTCGCTTCCTCCCGCTCAGAACGAAGGCGGTGGGAAATTACGCCTTGCAGTTTCGAGACCTCGTCCCAACGGTGATGGAGCACGCGTGATTTTGAGCAGGGCCGAGTGTTCGAACGGGAAGAAACCTCAGGGTCAACTCCCGCTGAGCAAGCAACTTGCTCAAGGTCACAGGGCAGTTACCCATAGGGACATGTCCTATCTCATGGACCAGTGTGCTTCGTCAGTTAGTCTTATCATTTGTAGAAGATAAACAAGAGGTGCTAGCAGGAAGGTGGTCGTGAAAACGTAATAGACTGGGTAAACGCCCAGGAAGGAGCGTTAACGCCACCCTTGTTTGCTCGTTACCTAGCTCCGCACACAGGGGGCGCTCAACTCATGCTGTGGTTTTTGACGCCAAGAAAAGGTAGGGCTGGGAAGGGGCTCTCAACCCACAAAGCTTGTACGAGTTTCCTGTAGGCCGAGTCAATCTTATGGCAACACCTGGCAGGTGCTTTCCACCCTTGCCCACAGTGGCCAATGGGACAAAGTCTAAAATAAGTATTTCTAGTTTCTGAGGTCAGCTGAAGGCCAAAGAGCAGCTGTCCTTGCAGCTCAAACAATCCAGAGGAGCATGGTGCTACTTTTTTAAAGCCTTCTGTTACCTAAAATCTCATTAGCCTTGAAACGTACTTCACACGTTTAGGGGGGCAATATTAAGAATTAGAAATAATGGAACTGCAGGCCAAGAGTGCCAGTTATGCTCATGTCTTGGGCTCTCTAGGGGAGGGTATAGTGGCCGCAGACCATGGTGATTGTTCTGGAAAAACGGATGGGCAAGTGGGTCCCTGACACCTGGGCCTCCTCTTCTGAGACTGTCGCCTCCTCAAATTAATCACATCTCAGATTAATGAGAAGACCTATCAAGGGTAGGACATCATTCAACATCAGTCTCTTAAAGATTGTTCTCATACAAGATTTATTCCCCAGCGCCCCTCCCACCCCCATCCCCACCCCAATTCACAGTGGAGGACTAAGGAGATTCAGAGCAGGATCCCCCAGGTATAAGAAACATCTTCCAAAGATTTACTCTCCTTTCCCTCCCTTTGCTAACTCCCAAGGCCTGAAGCTACACACACTCATGCAAACACACAAAACTCCACTCCTTTCCCACACCTGTTTTTTTCCACATCAGAGCTCACCTACAAGACATCGGGGCTCCGAGAAGAGAGAAGGTGTCCTAAGTCTGTTTGAGAACCCTGAAGTGGGGAGATGCCACTAAACCTTCACAAAGTGACTATGAAACAGGCACCTAGCTCTTCTCCCTTCTCAGTTAACTCTTTTCACTCCCTGGCCTCTACCTTGTCCATCAACCAAGAACAAACACGTTAGCACACTCCCACCTGCAGCACATGAAAATGGGCTGTCTAGCAACCCTCACCCAGGTGTGGGGCTTTTGGGGGAGTGGTCCCTGAGGATCGGCAAAGGGTTAATGCAGAGGGAAAGAGGACAGAAGAGTTTGGCTTGAGCTCTGACTGAGGAGGCAGAGAGAGGCTGTAGGCTGGCACAGGTTCAGAACTAATTACCATTTTTAGTTTTTGTCTCACATGATTTTATTAGGGGCAGTCTAACTGATATCCCTTTAGAGGGGTCTCTGCTGTACACATTCTTGCTAACTGGGCTCCTCCTTAAAAGAGCCTTACCAAGTTCGCAACCAGCTCAAGATAAAAAGCTGGACCGGGAGTAAGAATAGCTGGTGTAAGAAGAGCTGGTGGTTCCTGGGATGCATGCCACTGAGCGAGCCATTTGTAAAGTGCTACTCTGACATCCCCTATGGATTTATTGCTTCTCCAGAGGAGGAGCAGGAAAGGATCAGGAACATGGAAATGGGGATGGTATGGTATTGCTTTGCTTGTTGCTCAGACTGATGGTCAAATGGAGCCAGGGGTTAGCAGCACCAAAGATAACCAGACAGCTCCAGAAGATTCAGTGAAACCATGAGATACAGAGGCACTCACCCTCCCAGCCAGCTGACCCAACAGCCCAAGGTAATGTGGAAGAGGCCCGCCCCCACATCATGTTCACAGTTCTTAAATTTCACAAGCAATATTTCAGAGCCCTGGGGGTTAGGCCTCAAGAAATGAGGATGGGCTGGGGTAGAGGGAACATGCCTGCTCTGCAGAACCGAAGGACAAGATTGCTTAGAAAAAGACAAATCAATCATGGCTTAGCAAAAGAGGAGGATGACAGTGGAACACTTCCAGCTGCTGCCTGACTTGGAGCTCTAGGGAGGTGATGGAGGAGGAAGGAAAGGAAGGGCTCTTCTATCACTGAGGGCCCTCGAGCACCCATACCTAGAAGCAAAACAGCAGCACCCCCTCAAGGGGGAACCCCTGACTACTTTGTTCCCCCAAAGTACCATCCTGATAGAGAGATGCCTCCCTGGGGAAGCACACTCTCACTTCAGTGACTGAGCTCAGAAATGGGTGTCTAGCTGGTAGCAAGGGAGTGAGTATCCTCTCTCAGCAGTCCTCTGAGCATCAGCCAGGCCACTGGGCATACAAACATAATTCAGGGGATGGGACTTGGGTTCTTCCCTTGTCCCTTCACCTTAAGTGGGATGAGGAGGGGAAAAAAAACCTAAACCACCATGACCCCCAAAAGGAGTCTGCCTCAGTGGCTCCTGGAACTGGCAGGGTCCAGCTGATTCAACTCTGACTGGTCCAGAAGTTCAAAGTCATCCCCCTCAGCATCAGTGTCCAGGTCTGAACTGGGGGCCCGGAGGATGCCTCTCGTTGCTCCCTGGGGAGGTGGGCCAGAAGGGCCTGGCTGGGCGGCCCCTGACAGGGCCAGCTGAATCATGCCCTGGGAGACCAGGCTGGCAAGGTTGCTGGTGAGGTTGGATCCTGCAGGCAGGGCACCAAGCAGGAGCTCCGGCAGTGCGGCCTCATCCCGGCTGGCAGCAGGGGCCTGGGGCTCAGCCCCTGGTGGGGAACGGTACATCAAGCTGGGCATCCCAATGCTGGTATCATCCTCATCATCCAGGCCAGCAGGATCCACATTAATGGAAGGGAAGTCTGGAAGATCTCTGGCAAAGGATTCCTCTGGATCACTGTGACCATCTAGGTCTGGAAGAATAGAAGGATGTCTGAGACATGGCAATCGCCTGGCACCCCTGTGCCTCATCCACACACAGTCAGTCCCACGTAACCAGATTTTTCCACCCTGGATATCGAAGAATGAAGCAAACCCGTGGCACTGGTCAGCTCTTCCCCTCCACTTAGAGATTACTGGGATCTCTACTGGCCAGAGAGCTCCCCCTCTCTTCTTCCATTATGCCCACCATGAACTTACAACTTGAGGCAACTAAGGAACTGAGGATTCCAAGGAGAGCAGCTGTGCCGTCCTGGCTGTAGCCATGCCCCTAGGCTGCTCTGCCACCTGATCCACTCCTCAGAAAACAGGTGGGGGGTAGGAGGGCAGTATCCCCACTGTCTGGGGAAGCTGAAAGGCAACGGTCAGAGCCATTATCCACTCCGGTCCAAGGTTCCCCTCACCTTCAGAGCCTTCTGTTAGAGGTGTTTGGCCCCGTGAAAGATTGAATGTGCCGTTGTCTGTACAGGAGACCTCAGCATCCGAGTGCTCAGAGTCTGTGATGGCCAATTCCCTGGCAACAGTAGAATCATCCAGCTTAGGAAAAGAAAAGACCGACAAGCTTGAAGAGATGATGTCATTAAGAACAGGTGCAGTTCCCTAGTCACAGCTTTACTAATTAGCTGGCCCTAAAAGCTACCCTGATGCCAAGAGTGTAACCAGGTGCAGATGGGGACTTTAGTCAAAATCTTGACCCCTTTTTGGCTACTCCCCCAAGGAAAATACCCATATTCTTCAATCTTGAGCACAGGAAGGAAAGCAGCCTTGGGAATCAACCAGCCACCTACTCTTAAACCAGTAACTGAGCCAGAGAATACTTTTCACAGGAGCCTGGAGGATACACACACTGACCGACCAAAGCGGGGCTGGGCTGTTTATAAGATGATCACACCATTTCCAGAGGTTCTGCCATGATGGTAGGGATTAAAAGGAGACAAGGAAGATGATGTGCTGGTCACCAGGCTCAAATTGAGATCTATGCACAATACAATGGCCTAATGTAACACTAGCTTCTCTCCTCATAGCTCTTGAGCCCATGAGTTGACTGCCTAAATGTGAGGTGCCCGATGGTAAAAGGGAGCTGAAGAAAACTGGCTAGTGGCATAGCTCCCACACCCAAGATACCTGAGGACAGAAGGCAGCAAGCTCCTCTTCACTGTCGCTGTGGTTGTCCATGGCATATTCCGGGTGCAGAGCTCTGCGGCGTACTATGTGGAAAGAGAAGAGGGTCTTGAGGGGAAACCCCCACCCGCTTTGGACGTCAAAGGCACAAAATGAGAACATAAGAGAACGAAGCCCTCTGAATATGGCCCCAAGCCTGCCTGAGGGCGGGCTGCTAATGCTAAGTGGCAAGGTAAGCTGATAACACAGGAGAGAAAAATCTCTCTTCCTATAGCTCTCCCTCCACCAGCCCCCCTTTCGACCCCCACTCCCTTTTTGTTCTAGTCAGATGATCAACTACCAGGCTTGTGAACAGCTCTCAGGATCGGCGAGGGGAAGACCAGATGTCAAACTGGAAAGTGGACACTATCATAGAGAGGGCAAAGGGAGATACCCCACCTTACTTAAATCAGGCTTTTGATTTAACTAATTTACTATTCAACTGGCTGCCCCAGGAGGAGCTGGGCGTTGGTGACCACCTGCAGGGCTCTTTGAAGGCCAGGGCTTAATGAAACACCCAACCTGACCAGACCACAGAAGAGAGGGAAAAGTTCGCAGGACTGTCATTCCTGTGTTGGGAGGATCTCAGGCTAGTACACTTCTGGCCGCTGAGGCAGCAGTTCTGAATCACCTTTGGAAGGCGGCTCTCAGTAGTGAAGAGAGGCCCAGCTTAGGGGTCTAAAAGACCTGCCTCTGCCATTTACTAACTGTGAACTTCAATTTCCTCAACTTAAAAAGGAAGATAATACCACCCTCTTCTCAAAGTTGTTATAAAGGTTAAATAAAATGATGTATGGAGAGTAGTCAGCACAGTGCTTGGACACACAGACAGTGCTTCCGAAATAGTGAACACTAGGGATTATGGTCACTGTCGTTTATTCAACTTGGGAGAGCTTTTCTCAGATTTGTTTAAAATGGGAGTGTCTAGGATTCCAAGTGGGGAAAATTGGTAAGCCTGTCTAGATTTCCCTGGAGTGGAGTATCACTTTTACCTACCACCCACTACACACCAACCACACCCCACTTCTCCCTCTTCCGAGGTCTTACCTATTATGTCAGACCTACAGGCTTTTCCTTCTCTTCCCCAAATTGCCCAAATGGGAAGAAGCCTTCCCTTGACACTTACGTTGTCTCTCTCTCTGCTTGGACATCATGTAGCCACGGACGCTGAAGTCCAGCCGCTGCAGAGCTGGCTTCAGCCGTACATAGGCTCGATCCCACAGTCGGTGATACACAGCAAGGGGCCACATCAAGACAGTGACAACTGAAAGGAGGAAACAGTGGCAAAATAGAGAGGAGCTGCACAAAACAGTCGTACATGTCCCTCTGCTATTGTGTCCTGAGGGACTGGACACTCAGTGTGGAACAGTGCTACTAATTCAGCGGGTCATCTTCACTCATCTCCCCTACCACATGAGGGGGCTTGGGAGGGCAGCGACTTCTGCAGCCACCTACAGGGCTGTGCACAGCCGAGTGTGCTGCTGATCTATCAGGGCAGACCCAGGCAGTGTGTTCACTTGCATATGGGTGTCACTGAGCCATAAACAAAGCCAAATGGTTAACAATGCCTCAGAAACTACACAACAAATCATGTGAGCTTGATATATAATAGCCACAGCCATAACTACTCAGTTCTTCCAGCCTCAAGCAGCAGAGTTCACGCCAATAGGAAGTAACTAAATTTATAAAACTGTGCTTCGGCGGGGGCGGGGGGGGGGGGGGGGAGTGCGCTTGGGTAAACAGAACCTAGTAGAGGATCCCCTAAGAGTTATGCTCTGCTGTTACCTACTACACTGACTGTAAAAACCCCTCCTTAAATAGGGTCAGACAGTCCTTTATAGTTGGTAATACAGTGTATGTTAGTGGACCCTTGTCAATTTCGAAAACTGACTTGGTAAGAAAAAGACTTAATATGTGGGGAGTCTGCTACAGGTAAGAAGAAAGATATTTTCATGACACTAAACGGGTCATGAAAATACAAAAAGGTAATTTCCCAAAGAGCCAAAATGTAAAACTCCTCTCCCTAGACCGAGTTAGCTGTGGCTGGAAAAGCTATGAGAAGGGTTAAGCTCACAGGGGGAAGTGTACGCCATACTTACGCATTAAGTAGGACAGCAGGAGCCCAGGGATGTAGCGGCCCAAGACAGCCAAAAAGGTCAGTATCCCACAGCTCAGCAAGCAGAACTGGGGGAGTCAGAAAACAGTTTTAAGTTTCTGCGACATGGCAGCGGTCTGGGGTGGGGATGGGAGATAAGGAGGAGGTGTGACTGGACTAATTCTCCATGTCCTATGAGTAAAGCATGGACACGTCAGAATGACAGATGTACCTAGCCACTGTTACATCCAACAGTGATTCTGTTTGGGAGGAAAAGAAGGCTGTCCACTTCTGTTCAAACTCCTTTTATGTGGCTAGCCCCATGGGGTTGTACCTTTCATGCTGGAAAAGTGATTTGAATAGGACTTAGCCAAAAATTCTCTCTGAAAGCCAAGTATTGGTGGTGGGTTTTTAAGTCAAAATAAAAAATAAATAAATTTAAAAACCCAACAACCTACCACATGTTTAATATGACACAGAATGCACACAAGCAAGCTTTCTTTCTCATTCTGGGGCAGGAAGATGGCAGAATCTAAGTGGCAAGCACCCAAAGGAAGAGTCATCACGCTCTTGCCTTAGTCCTAGTGGCTAGTCAGAAGCTCTTTTCTACAATTTCCCTTTGTCTCTACAAACATCATGGTCTTTTCTTTCTTGAATGAGGATATGTAGTAAAAGGGCTGTTTCAGTTTAGCATGAACTGAACTGAGAAGCCAGAAATGAAAGTGAAAAAGGGAAGAGTCTTACCTTGCCTGGGTTTTGCTTTTTGAAAAGCAAAAGATTCCTTATGAAAATGGTCCCACTAACCCAGACTTCAGCTACATGATGACAGAGCTCGGGCACGCTGAGCAACTGAGGGTGCACAAAGCCCCAGCTACGGGAGAGAGAAGGGGGAGCTGTGAAAGGAGGGTGCTGAGGGTTCCCCCCATCTTGCTGTGTAGGCAGCTAGAGCTTCCAGGTTTAAATGGGGGCTAGGGAGCGGCTAGTCCTAGGTGCTTTGGTGGTGAAGCACGACTTTCTTCTTGGCTCACCAGGTTGAAACTTGAATTTAGGGGCTAGGAAGACGAACTTGTTCTGACAACTCCACCCTATGAGCAAGCAGCCCAATCCACGTGTGTAAGCCTGCCACCAAGGCCCTTTGTGCTTAGAAACATCATCCCTGCACTCAGACCATTGCAATTTACTGTGATTGCAATCCAGGGATGAAAGAAAAGCACAGTCTGTCACCACTGCTGCTGAGGGGGAGGCCATGATGGATGCGCCCCTCAGAGAGAAAATGAAACAAAACCAAAATAAATCATAGCAGAGAAAATTCCTTGAATCACACATATGAGATGAATGAACTGAGAAATGAAAGCAGGAGCTATAACACACAAGAGGAATCTTTGGCTTGCTGATGACAGGAACCTATGTGTTTTCTGACCAGGGAAATTTAAATAGCCAGAGGTCACAGAAAACACTAAATGACCTGGTATAAAAGCCAGGAGACAAACGGAGTACTAAGTTGCCTCTAGGTTTTTACACTAGGGCTGGATAACGCAGCTAATGCCCTGGCATATCAGGTTATGGGGCACGGTAACGCTTTTTGTTTTTTTCCAGAAACTTATCTTGTAAATATCAGAGGACACTAGCCATCTTAACATATTGCTGCCTGAACTTTAGGATTTGTTAAAATGATTATTTGGAACAGACTAGGTTCTAAGCTTAGACTTTGTCCAGAACATGGGGTTAACAACATGTAACCAGAATATTACAAGAGAATCAATCAGAGCAACAAAAAGGGATTTAATCAGTGTTCCATACCTCTCATTGTCTAATGCGTCGGGTCTTGGCACTACAATATTAAAACAAACACCAGCATTAGTTGGAAGGGAAAACTACACGTGAAAATGTTAGGCTGTTGGTCTGACAGCTCAAGGTTTAATAGGTTTGGGGGAAAGAAGTAAAAACGAGACACTGTTATACTGCCAGAGTTAGGGAGCTGCAGACAAGGGAACGACGGCTGATGCCTGCTCGTTTTCTTCTCCAGCAGGGTGGGGAGTGGGGCGGATCTAAACGCAGCAGTAGGGCCCCTTCTAATTACTACAGCTGAGAGCCAATGTGCACACAAAAAATGGTCCATCCCACCCCTCAAGTGTGTCTGGGTTGCTCATACACATCAATATGTACCAGGTTACCAAGGCATGTTGTAACTAGTCCAAATCTAGAAATCTGCCTATTCTCTTTAAAAAGAGACCCATTAACTACAATGAACGGTGTAAAGTCTTTTGACGTTCGCCAGCTACAAGAGAGGTGGATGAACTACATGAGTCCTTGAAGTCTCTGCAGAACAGGATGGGAATGTATTTAAAAGCTGTACACTCTGGTTTGAATATCCTGCCAACACTTCAAAATTAACAGGTCCAAAACCTACATCAATTGTCCTCGCTTTCGCTCCCACTCAAACTGACTTCCCTGCCTGACGTTGCCTATATCTGCTAACGGTAATGCTGTCCTATTCTCCTAGCTTTGAAATCCCGAAGTCGGCTTTTATCCCTTACTCTCCTAACCCTTATTTATCAGTCTTGATGTGTCCTCCCCTTTGACAGCTCTCCAAGCTATCCGCCATTTGCTTCCACAGACACCTCTCTGATTACTTCTCACAGGAACTGCTGTAGTCTCCTATCAGGTCTCCCTCCTTCCTCCTTTTCTCCATGTGGTCCTGTAAAATGCTATCAAATTAATCTTTAATATCTCAGCACATAGCTCTAATTTTAAAATTTTTCAATGACTACGCACTATTAATAGGATAAAGTCTAAACTTCTAAGCCTAACTTTAAAGCCTTATAAAATCTAATTCCAACATACTTTCAGTTTTATTCCCTAGCACTCCTTTTATTTTCTCTCACGCCCATGAAACTGACCAATTCCCTATTCTCAGGAGATGCTTTGCAGCTTCTGGTTCCTTAGACTAATCACTAAAAGTGTGGAGAGACACTTTTCTCTCCGCCTGTCCAAATCTTTTGCTTCATTCAAGGCTTGAGCTAAGGCAAAAATACATAACAGACATCCTAATCACAAATTGCACTTTGATATCTTTGGTACTGTTCTATAACTGTCATTTAACTTTTCTTATGTTTATTTATGTATAATCTTTGAGAAAAGGAACCATATCTTAGAGTACTTCATATAAGTCAGAATGCCTAGCTTAGTGCTTTGCAAATAAACAATCTTTAAAATAAATTCCTGAAAGGCAAATCGATGCTGCCTCAGTAAAGATGCAGTGTCCAATGAGGTGAATTATTTTTTATAAACTTGAGGACCACTTAAGGACTACTTATTCCTCAGGCCAATTATGAGGGCAAGACTATCTCAGGTGGTGGGAAAAGATTTCCTGAGCGTAACAATGGAAAGGGCAGAACTCAATTCTAAGGAACTCCATACAGATGGAGCACTAGCCCTTCAAGCATCTCCTAAAGCAAATAATTCAGACATCAAAAGATATCCCAGTTCCACATACTCCTTCATAAACCCCCACAACTAAAGGTTAAAAATTATAGGAAAGACCATTTCCTATAATTCGGATTGTTCTAAATGCTCTCAAACTCACCTTTTATTTCGGGCCAGATTTTGTTCTTCCATTGATCTATACACACTATGATCATGGAGCTGAATGCAAGTAAAAACACAAGACGAAGGGATGTCAGTGCAAAGAACCTAGAGAGAAGGAAAAGCAGAAGATCATCATCCAAGTAAGCTAATTCCAGAAAAGACCATACGTACACTATAAGCTCTGTAGTAACTGGACTTAATCCTAGTTATATACGTTGAGAAAAATCACTTAAACTTCTGCTATTTTACCTATGGGGCAGAGATAATTAATTTGCTTCTATAAAGGCAGAGAACTAAACCAAATAACCTCTCAAAGCCTCTTTCAAGTTTTAAATGAGTCTATTAACTTCAGGGAGAAATTCATCCTTGATAACAAGTTGTTATGAAAGCAAACACCTTTCTACCAAATTAGACCTGAGTATCGGGCAACAAACTGATAGAGATGCATTAAAGAGCATTTAATTCAAGTATTATAGATATCCTTTTACAGATGAAGGAATGGAGGCCCCAAAAAGTAAAATGATTTATCCCAGTCACACAGAAAGCACTGAAGTTACAGCTAAAAGCCAGTTCTTCAGAATTAGACAAATCCTTCTTAAACTCTTCCCAAAAATTGAAGAGGGAACACTTCTTGATTCATTTTATGAGGCCAGCATGATTCTAAAACCAAAGCCAAAGACACTACAAGAAAAGTGCAGACCAATATCCCTTGTGAATACAGATGCAAAATACTCAATATATCAGCAAACTGAATTCAGCAGCATGTTAAAAAGATAACATACCATGATCAATTTCTGTGATTTATTCCAGGAATACAAGGGCGGTTCAACATACAAAAATCAATAAACGTAATGTATCATATTAACGAAATGAAGGAAAAGGCCAGTTTTTTGTTTTTAATTTCCCACCCCCTACCCCTCACCACTCTGAAAAGCTAGTTCGTATTTAAAGGAATCAACCATAGATATTTACAAACCATCTGGGAAATCTGATCACTGACAGCACATGTCAAAAGATATTAAGGAATTATTGATAATTCTTTAAAGTGTGATAATGTTATGGGAGTTATGTTTTTAGAGTCCCTATCTTTTAGTGATACATACTAAAATGTTTATGAATAAAATGATATGACGTGTGGGATTTGTGTCAAAATAGTACTTTGGCAAGGAAAAGGGTAAGAAATAAAATAAAACAAGACCGACCACGAGGCTGGAATGACAGTACATAGGATTCTTTATTTGTACTATTCTCTGTACCTCTGTATACATTTAAAGTCTTTCACAATAAAATATTTAAAACAAAAGCTAGTTCTTATGAGTCTTTCTATCACATCACCCTAAAGCCTCTAAGGCAGTACCTTGCAGGGTGCATGTAGTTCAGGGTTGGCCCACAAACTGGTATCAACCAGGCTATGGAGAAGTACGTACAGAAATTGAAAGTCAGCATTTAGAAATGTGTATAGCAATTTGACCAAGTAATTTTTTTTTAAAGATTTTATTGGGGAATTAGGAGAGGGGAACAGACAAGATGCTGTCCTTTTTTTGTTGTTGTTCTTCAGTCTAGTTGTGGAGAACGGTGCTTCACTGGCCCATGTTGATATTATCACGGCGCTCTTCCCGGGGGAGGCAGTCACTCGCTGGCTATTGGACAGCCCCACTGCAGCCTACGTGACCAAGTAATTTTGAATCTAAGACTATATTTTTAGGCTTGTGTTGTCTATGCCTTTTTACACTTAGTTGTTCTAGTAACATAATTTTGCATTTTACGGAAGTACTGATTTGCAACAGATTGGGGAAAACAACACTAGTCCTCACCAGAGATGGTTTGAGAAACACTGATCTCGGGGGAAGCCGAAAGCATCACCAGAGAGGTGGTTCAGCAGGGCTGTTAGGCATGGCTTTTCAAGTTAGATTGGCTTGAGTCTGATTTCTCTGAACAGCCACTTTTAGTCATACGACCTTGAATAAATCAGCTTAACCTCTTTAAGCCTCATCTGTTATGTGATGTTAACAATAAATCTTGCAGGTTTGTAGGTATTAGAAACAACATAATCACCCAGAAAAACACCATACTTGATTCTGCTAAAAAGACAAGACAATACAAGGCACCTAAGAAATGCCTAACACATAGCTCTATCCAATTTTCTAATATAGAAGTGTTACTAGCTATTATCACAGTAACTGATCAAACAAGGGTAAGGATAACCAAGGGCTGGTTATAAATGACCTCTTCTCAACTCAACATGACCCAATGACTTGATATAATCATAGAACAATACCAAGAGTCTAATCCTTATCACATTTTTAAAAAAAGTTTATCTGTGTGTATATACACGTATGAATACACATATACACACAGGAACTGACAGAGGAACTTTAATTTTTATCTCTAGACATTTTTGTACTTTGTTTTCAATAAACATGAATCCCTGTTCTATAAATTTTTAAACTATACAAAGAATGAGGGATGGAAGAAACAAGAACTTAGAAATCCAGTCACCAATGATAACCTTATTCCAATTTTTCCACCCCATCGCTTAAAGGATACTGTAATTATATATGAGATTAAAGAATGAGAGCAGCTTAACAGAAATCAGCCCCTAGAGCTGCCCTAGGCCATTAATCTTCCCTCCAAAGCCAGTTCATCACCCCAACAAACAAGCAAATTTAACAAGGCCAAGGATAAGGGCTCTAGAGCTTCTGACTCCCTAGTGCTATTGCTTCCATGTCCCAGAAGCAGGATGTGGTGCGAATGCTGTTTTCTCCAGAGGATTTGAAAGGGCTCTCTGGGGAGGCCATTCAGACTGTCTGCAATCTCCACTTCCTAGATCATGATTATTAACACAAATATAAACTAGGGTAGGGAGGGATATTAAGCTCTCCTAAGAAAGATCTGTTTTCCAAAGAGGGTGGCAATAAAAATACTGTTTCTCCAAGGCCTGGACTATTTTAGTAGCCGTTTATAGGCCCCCTTTGCTCAACTCAGTTCCACCAACATCTGAGTGCCTATTATATGCCAAAGCCTTGTAAGCAGTCCGGTTATAGAAAAGAGTAAGACATGGACCTTACTCTCAAGTGTATTTATGTTTCTGTGTGTGTGTGCAATGTAACATGACACAGTAATCATAACAAACAAGAGGAATCTAAGCTGGGATTAGAAAGACAAATGGTGAGAAACCACCGCAAAAGGTTGTAGGGAAGGAGAGGACATTCAGATAGGGAGAACAGCCAGCTGGCATGACATATTTAAGACAAGCAGTTTGACAGGACAGAAACACAAAGAACAGAGGGAGGGGATAAGAATGGGGAGAAAGGAATGAGTCAGGTCATGAAGGGCATTTCATGACAAAGCGTGCTGGGTTTTGGCCTGCAGATGAAGGTGAATCAGTAAAGAGTTTTACAAAGGGTGTATTTTCTGGGCCATGAAGGCTAACATCTTCTTGAACAAGATTAATCCTGGTCCACAAGTCAATTTTAGGGCCAGATGTATCCTTTTCTTGAACAAGCCAATGCAGGAACTTCGGAGAAAGAAGAGTTTTCATGTGGTATAAAATAACATTTCTTGGGGAAACAGTTTCTTCCATATAGATAAAAACTTAATAGAAAAATCACCTCAAACCACTAGAATTGTCCCCTCCAAGATAACTAGGCAATTAATATCAATGTTACCTCAGGTGTCTATCAAATATAATATGAATAAGAGTGTGCCCCTTTCCTACCAGCCGTCCATACTAAATTCCTAAACAAAAAGGGACTATCAATTTCAGGTGTGTTTTGGATACACCGATGGTCACATTACGATTGTCATTTTACAGATATAACCTAAAAGCCCACCTGAAAAACAAACTCTGCAACTGTGTACAAAGACAAGACATAACTGAAGATAAAGTACTTGTGAGACTGGTATAGGTAAGGGATGGAAAGAAAATAAGGGAGGATTCCTCTGGATTCGTTTAGTCCTGCAATGTCTATTCACTCAGGCCAAAAAAATTCACATGCAGCTCTAACATATATGTACAAATTTGTACAAATTTGATAAAACAACATGCAAAACATTTTCAGCAGCTATAATCGACATGAGAACTTCTCAACTTAGCAAAAACAACTGCAAATGCAGTCAACTCTGGATAATCACATGTGAATTATTCAATTTGGGGATTGCCCAGAGGCCATTTCTCCTACCCATTGTGGACTCATAATCAATTTCCCTTAATAATATTTATTTTTCTTATTTCTAAAGGCAAGCATGTAGAAAATATAATTAAAGAAAACAAAAATGAAATTTTAGTATACCATCTACGAGACAGTCTTGCAAAAAAAAATTTTTTTTGAACCTGAATCTGACCAAGCCTCCAAATCCAACAACCAATTTACAGGAAACACAGAGCACAGGGGAACATGTTAAGCCCGGATGGGGATGCAATCAGCAGAATCCATTCTGTAGGACACTTGACAAGACAAACTGGTTTTACAAATAAACTGCAAAAAGGAAAAATGATTGAAAAGGAACCAACAGAGTAAATAAGATATAAAAAACAGCTATCAGTCACAATCTGTGACTTCATTTGGATCCTAACCCAAACAGTTCTAAAAAAACCAAAATGACACTTATGAGAAAATTAGGAATTTGAAAGTTGACTGGAATCACTAATTTTTTACGTGATAGTATTTTTTTAAGTGCTTATTTTTCAGACACACATACTGAAACAGATTAAATGATATGAATTTGCCTCAAAACAATAAAGGAGGAAATGGGAAAGAACTGGGGTACAGAAGACGCAAAACTGGCTATGAAGTGAAAATATTTAAAGCTGGGTATATTGTGATACATAATATTATTCTGTCTACTTATGTATATATTTCAAATTTTCCATTAAGTTTTTTTAATGATCCATTATCCATACATATACCCCAAAATATGAAAGGTTATTCTCTTAAAAAAAAAATTCAGGGCCGGCCGAGTGGCGCGATGGTTAAGAACTCGCTTGGGATGCCAGAGGGCCCCGGTTCGGATCCCACATATGAGGGCCAGTG